TGTGTGCGTCGATTTCAGAGAACTATTTTTTAAAGTTAACCAGTTAGTTAGCATGACTTCCTTCATTTCCTGGTAAACATCCTTAGAATAAGAAAGGAAATGAATTCAGCCATAAAGAACAGGATATTGTGAGTAGGTCAGGAGTATATGATCACACTTTTTATTTTAGAAACTAAGTGCTGACGACTGGTGAGTCAAAACGTTTTCCGACAGAAAATTAGGGGGGAAAGGACTTGACCAGGACATGATTTGATTCACATGATATAGATCTACATGTAGATCTACCTTTCAAATAGCCCACATTGCGCGTCATTCTTTCGTCATGTGATCCTTATACTATCTGTAAGTTAAAAAAGAATTGTTAGCTTCCTTTAAATTTAAAAGGATTTAAGCGTGTCGAAAATGTTCTCTAAAAGGCAAACTATAACTTACAGTTACAGTCTAAGTCAGAATGGAAAAAATTTTCGCAGAATAAATTAAACATTTATTACATTTTCCACCCCTTCACAATAACAAGTTCATGCAAGCATAATATGAATGAACGTTCTAAACGGAAAAGTATGGTTCCTACTTGCATCAGTTTCTATTTGTCCTATGTCAATAATAATAATATTATATTGTCTTTTGACATGTTATGTTCTATAAGTAATATTTCTTGTTTCCTACTTACCATACTTCCTGGTTTCCCTTTAGTTCCATTTAGTTTCCGTCTGTTCCCGCGAAAGATTATAACACTATGCATCCTGTTTCTAGGACAGTGAGGGTGACATCGTGACAGACTACTACGAAAATGGCCATACTCTCACTAGTAACTAAGACCGGCGTTGTTGATGGAGCTACAATCTGCTTTCTCCAAGATAAAAGACGATAGGAAGCTGCGAAAAAGAAGCCTCCTGCTGCCTAACAATTCTCCAGAGCCCAGAGCGGTGAAGACAACTCTGACAGCAAAGAAGTTCGTCTACGAAATTCTCCCACACCCACTCTAATCACCAGATATTGCACCCTCTTGATTTTTTTTCTGTTCCCAAATCTGGAAAATTTCTCAAAGGACAGGGTTTCCATAGTAATGACGATGCAGTCGATCGAATGGTTTTTGCCCCATCTGGGGTTACATTATGCTCAAGGACTTTTGAACGTCAAACAAAGATGGCAAAATGTGGTCAATTTTCAAGATGCTTATTCAGAGAAACAGCATTTGTGAGTGCCAAGTTTCAACTTTCTAGTTAGCTTCTTTCATAGTCAGGGTAAAGACTAAATGAATGCCCGTCTTAAATAATATAATTAATAACCTTGGCATTCTTTGTATTTTTGCTTTCATTAGTCGACGCTTAACTACTGAAAACCAATGAGAAGGTCGGGACGGGAATTCAACTTTGAAATGCTGTTCCAACTCACTTCTCAGTGATGGCAGCCCACAGGGAGTCAAAAAGGTTTCCGTATCGAAAATCAGGAGAAAATAAATCCTAACTTGACAACGATAATATGAATTCATCAAAGCATCTAGATCTAGATCTAGATCTAGCCTACATTGTACGTCCCGCGGCTATTATCACAGCTGAAAGTAAAATACTTAAACTTCTATAAAACAAGGTCTTCAAGCGAATCGAAAAAGAATATAATCAAGCCAAACCAGCTGAAGGAAAAAACCGCCAGTGTCTTTTAACTTGTCTCAGAAACAAGACATAACACTCAAAGAGTGTTAACCCCCCCCCCCCCCCCCCCCCCCCAACACACAGAGGTTTATTTCTCCTCTATGCAGAACGAGAAGGTTGGTTTTTGTTGTTGTTGTTCATTTGTTTTGTTTTGTGGTTTTGTGTGGGGGAGGGGGGAGGGGGGGTTATGAGCACAAGCACGTCTCGTGCGTAAGCACCCACATTATTTATACACAGAGGCGGCTCGAGGGGCTAAAAAGTGGATGTGCACAATTAAGCTATCGCATGATGAAGATAGTCAAGGGCATAGTAAATGTCAAATGAGACGGTGTATAATTTTGAGATTTGGGTTGGTGAGGGAGGACCTCAAGTTTGTATTTTCATTCTTTTTACTGGTCGCTTTAATTTCTAGTATTAAATTTGTTTGTTACCTAAACATCACTTTCGTTCATCCTGTATTGGAACTGAACACTCAAGTAATAACTTTCACTACTCCACTACAGAACCATTCAAAAAAAGGCCCAACTCATAGAACGGTCATGTTCACCTCCCTCATGTTCACAGTCACAGAGTCACTTAAAATAGGGGCAAGACAGACAATGCACCAATCACAATTCACTTGAGCACTCCGCTGGATTGCTCCGGGGCTCACATAATATTGGCAAAGAATAGCGTACGGTCTGTCGCGTTTATTTTTCGACTGCCTACCGTGGGCTATGTTTTGGCACTATTCAGAACGTCTTATTAATATTAATGTACCGCCAAACTCGCTATGAGTGGCGTCATCGCTTGGGTTATCCCCAAGAGCGATTTATAGGTCAGGTTACACTGTTGAATATCCTATTATGTTTAGTTAAAGCGTGTGGATTTTGGCATGGCATAGTAGATGTTTTACGGCGCTATAGACACAGAAATGACAGTTATGGTGCCAGTGAGGACCTTGTTTTGATATAATATTTGGCTAGTGTTTGTTTCTGGCTTCTTTTATCTTTTTTATTGAGGGTGTTTTACGTAATAGAACATTAAAAAATTTTGGGCGGCACTGCACGACCGTGCTCTATGGACGAACCGCGCCTGTTTATATACATATACTCTCATACTCGTGCATACATGAACATGTACACACCCACCTCTTATAAGAATATTTACTCATGTATCGCAAGAGCGAGAGAGAGAGAGAGAGAGAGAGAGAGAGAGAGAGAGAGAGAGAGAGAGAGAGAGAGAGAGAGAGAGAGAGAGAGAGTGAGAGAAAGAGAGTGAGAGAGAGAGAGAGAGAGAGAGAGAGAGAGAGAGAGGGAGAGAGAGTGTGTGTGTGTGTGTGTGTGTGTGTGTGTGTGTGTGTGTGGGAGAGAGAGAGAGAGAGAGAGAGAGAGAGAGAGAGAGAGAGAGAGAGAGAGAGAGAGAGAGAGAGAGGGGGGGGGTATTTATTTGAAAAACTTCTTCGGTCTTCCCTTCTTTGGATAATGTACTTACGAAATTGTGTAAAAGAATCAGAATTCCCATTCATTTCTTAAGTTTAAACTCAACAATTCATTCTTACCGTCTGAAAGCCCTAAAGAGGATGGTCTAATCAAACTAGGGCCATTGCATATTAATGCCATCCATCACGGTTTGGTCTTGAGAAATGAGAAAAATTAATTTCTCAGACCCTGACTTTGAATTTGGAATTCATTTGCCTGGACTTACTAAGACCTAGGGCCTACATGCCTGTGGAATGAATAGAAGCTTCAAACCAATTACGGCAGTTGTTTCTAGTTAATTACGCAGCTTTATAGCGAATGTAGCCTTAATTAAATACTTAACCACCCGGTACAACAATTAACAATAAGCTTATAGAGGTCAAGCTGAGCGTAGGCAGAGATAGATGTTCTGATACCTCGTGGAAGCCGCAACCGCACCTCCCTTAATGTACAGGAGGAGAATCGAATCGTTTTGTAAATGTACATGTAACCCACTTTGTAACGGGGAAATCCAAAATAGGCTTAGGCCTAAAGGTTGGGGCGTACCGTGATGTCACGAAAATGTAAAAATTTTGAAATAATAGCCTACGTTTCTTTCCTCCCACCCATCTACTTGGACAATAACAAGTCCACTCAAGCACAAACGAGGGCTGTTCTTTTCAAACCAAAAAAGCATGCTATTGCAGTGTCGGTGCAGACTTGGGGCCAATAATTAGACCTTCTTCTTCTTCTTCTTCTTCTTCTTCTTCTTCTTCTCCTTCTCCTTCTCCTTCTCCTTCTCCTTCTCCTTCTCCTTCTCCTTCTCCTTATCCTTCTTCTTCTCCTTCTCCTTCTCCTCCTTCTTCTTCTTCTTCTTCTTCTTCTTCTTCTTCTTCTTCTTCTTCTTCTTCTTCACGTATCTTTACTTTTTCACCCTCTATGCTTTTGAGCGTCGAGGAGAGATACAGTTTCCTTTGGTAATCCAACTCCACAGCTCTTTGAACATTGAGTTATAGTAATGTAGTTTCTGTGGGTTCACTTTTCCCTTGACTCGCCCAATCCATCTTTTGCGAGGCCTACCTCTACCATTTGAATTTATCGTTTCAAGCAAAGCAAAACAGCTTTTATTTCCTGACTCAAGCTCGTCCTTTATTTGAACATCTTGTACATAGCAGAACAAGCTGTAGCCTGTGTGCATTGTTCATTTTGATGACTTCCCGACAAAATTTTCATAAATGGGACAGCATGCATATCTATCCATTTGACGATCTGTTTCTAAGATAAATCTAAGATAAATTTTGAACAAGTGGAGGTTACTAGATTCTACCATCGTGCACCGTTTCAGTACATGTACTTGTATATATATATATTTATAAATAAGGAACAGTACCAGTAATTCTTCTTCACCTAATCAAGAGACCAATTTCCCTATTACATCCCCTGACTAACCTCAAATGTCCTCCCCAGCCGACAGTTAGTGTCCCAAATGAGGACAAATTCCCTTAGGGCCTATAGATCTAACGCAATACGCTTCCAGGTTATTTAAAACACAGCGCTTCAAACCATTCATAGGGAATGGTTTTACATGAGGTCAAACAGACCCCCACTCCAAAACAAACAGCATTATTATTTATTTTCATGGTGAAATGCTAAGTGAAGTGTGAAAAGAAAAATTTAAGCAATTCTGTGCCGAGTGGTACTTGCCAATGGATCTGAAAATTATCAATAGTTTTCTTTTCGCCTGGAAAAAAATATGTTTTGCTAGGCTATTGATAGCACAACAGCAATTTTCATTTCACATCGCTGTACCAATTTTTTAAACGAATCACGTCAAATGCCTTTACTTTGATAGAAAAAGACCTTGGTCGGGATGCCGTTTGAGGTTTGAACCTTGACAAAATCTGGACAGCTCACAGAGCTGCGAAGTCTTTCTCGTTGAGTCTCGCGATTCCTAGGTGTGGTGAAAAAGCACAAAATGGCGACTCTGTTGATCGATTGATCAAAATGTAACAAGCTCTTTTGGGATTGTTTATTGTGGATTTATCTTTGCAACATGGGTGACACAGATATTGATGTTTCTAGACTTCCTGATGATATCAGAGAACGCTTGGCTGAACTGGACCTCGAGCTGTCGGAAGGTAAGAAGACTTTGAGGTTGTGTGTTATGGCCTGGGTGATGAGATGCGGAAGAGGTGACCGAAAGTGGCGAAACTAGAATCTAGAAAGACAAGACTTGGCAGACCTGACTGACACCGTGCCTTGCCTTCAGACTCTACTGCTGCTGATGCTATTGCTGCTGCTACTGTGACGTCGACTACCACGACTTATTATCTTATCTACTAGATCTAGATTAGATCTAGAAATCCAGATTCTAGATCTAAATCTAGATTCTAGAATCACTACAACAATTCCTGTTTGCTTCCTCATCCTTAATTTGAATTTGAGTTCAAGAAGTGTTTGGAATTAAAAGACAAAAGATCTGCTGAGTTTCTATTTTCCATTAAAAAAAAATTTCTAGCTTCTTTCCTCATTGCCTGCCTATATTTATTGCTTTTAGATCTAGAATCTAGATCTAGATCTAGATATAGATCTAGATCTAGATCTAGATATAGATCTAGAGATATCTCTAGATCTGATCTAGATCTATGTGCCAGGGAAAAACCAGATAATAACTAGACCTAGAATGTCTAGATTAGACTCTACATTTTAGTTAGCAGCAGGCAGTCGGTCTGTAGGCCTGCTAATTAGTCAGCTGGAACTGAAGCCTTCTTGTCTGACTTGTCAACCAGTTGTTTTTTTTATAATAGAATAGTTTGTTTGATCTAATTTTGTTAGGGTTTTTTTGTTGTTGGGTAGGCCTGATTCTGATAGATCTAGATATCTAGGTCTAGATATCTAGATCTAGATCTAGATCTAAATCTAGATTCCAGATTCTGGATCTCTTGTTTTAATGAATTTTAGCCTTTCCTTTCAGCCTTTCTACTTTTTTTGGCTATTTCCCACAAATCTGTACTTGCAGTGAAGGACTTAAAACTTAAAAGTAATAATAAGTTTCAGAAGCAGCAAGCTATCATCTCTCTCTGATAGATAGCCTTTTCGGTGGAAGCTTAAATACGGGGTGCCCGTATTTAGACTCTTTTTTACATGAAGTTGCAGCGAGCACCTAGCACACCTCTGTGATTGACCCAAAGATGACATTTTTCCGCCAACTATTTTGGTCTTCTTCCGGGGCTTCTCTCGCCAGTTGACTAGATCTAGATCACATCGTGGCGGGCCCCGCTTTGCCGCTTAGCGCGCGATTGGCTACGTCACTAGGTTTCATCGTCAACTGCTTGGGTTGTGTGTGCGCGCAGGCTTCTGTATGTGTGCTTGTGTGTGTGTATACAATTTTGAGGAGAGAAGGTAAATTTATTAAACGAAAATTGCTGAGATTGTTTTTATAAAAGATACACATTATAATAAATTAATTAAATAACAAACCAAAAAAGCAAACAGGCACGGGGAGATCTAGAAATCTAGTCCACAGTTACTGGCGAGGGAAACCCAAGAATCTTGGGGGGAAACCCTGGAAGACGACAAAAATAGATTGCAGAAAAACGTCATAGATCTATTTTAGGCCTATCACAGAGAGGTGTTCTAGGTGTTCACTGAAGCTTCATCATGTCTTTCTTTTCCCATTGTGTGCTTCTAATCTGTTGACACTGATTGTCTTTTGCTGCACCTTCTATTCTATGTCTCTCTTAACTTTCTAATGAAACCTGAACATTAAATTAAAATTAATTAAATATCAATCTAAGAGACGCCATCATGTCCCCGGGCACTTTGTTAGGGTGTTACAGGTGGAACAAAAAACAGCAATAGAGATCTAAGGCTAAGACTGTGTTTGTTGGTATTCATTGGCTAGTAGTAGTAGTATTATTTTATAATTTATTTGGGAAGGAGTTTTAGAATGCTGAAGGCAGACTGAATTTAATGTCATATCATTTTCATATTTATTTTAAGTTCATTTCACCCCATATATATATGTCATCAGGCTTTGATTCCATTTTTGTTGGTTTCAATTTTTATTTTTTAAATATTTTTATTAGTTTGGTTTCATTTCATGTTGATTTTAACTTGGACAAAGTCAATTTGATGATTCTATGAATAGGCCTATTGTGCACTCTAAGTCTAAGACAAGACTTGAATTGATCTTGATAGAATGTTCACATTCAAGTGTTTTTGCACTTATTTTGAAGAAATGGGCATTATTTTTAGAGAGAGATCAATGACATTTTTACTCTGCAACTCTGCAGTGAACCAAGCTATTGCTTTCTTTAGAGTTGGAAGTATGGTTCAACGTAGCAGGGATTGAAAAGATGAAATTAAAGGTGGCGGCTGTTCCCGAGATAAATAGTGAAGCTAAATTTAACTAAGGATTGATCATGGGAGAAACAGGTATGCGTGTCTGCATAGTTTTGTCATTAAGAGTTTCTCAGTACTGTCGGAGGGTTTGTTCTGCTGCTGTTTTTTTAAAAAATTGTTTGAGTTATAATGTGACCTGTCTTTTCTGGACTATAAATTAGTTTCTAGTTTGTACAATGAATAGTTTTTAAAAATTAAATTGTTAACTTAACGGCTGTGCTTTTTTCCTTTTTTATCTTTGCTCCCTCATTGTTTCAATCTCTCTTGCTGTGGGTGGTTCGCGTGTGCTCTGGTGTGGTTTGCTCCTTCTTTCTTATCAAACATTTATATAAATCGTCCTTATCTCCTCTCCTTCTTTTTTATGTTTGTTACTCTCTTGTAACACCTCTAATCTTCTGGCGCTCATATGACCTTATGCAGTTGCGAGCGCCGTAAAACCTCTATTAAAACAAACATAAATGTAAATCTCTTTCTTTTTGTATTTGATGACTCTTTTGTAATACCTTTGATCTTATATTGTGTTGCAAGTGCCATAAATCTCTTACTAACCTTACCCTATTTCTCTCTTTTGATACTTTATGAGTGGTTTGTGTTCTCGGACAGTCTGCTCTTTGTCTATTTTTACAGTGTATTATTTACAAATCTGTTTTAGTGAAATGTGGCCACTGTCTTGTTGACTATCCCCCCAGGGCAGTGCTACTGACTGAAGTGTGTTCGGGCCATTCCCAAATGCTGGATATTAACATGTTCTTATATTCACAGTAGAATTGTAAATGGGCTGATTTACCAATGTCATGCTCATATTGTTCTGGAACAACAAATGGGGAACTGCTGCTTTTTCTTTCCTCATCCTTACTATCTATCGTCATTTTCCTTGTTTGTCACTCTCTTATGAACTGCTATTACCGGGGTGCCTTGATAGTGGAAGCAGACTTTGTGCTGTTGATGCTAGAGAGGTGAGCAGAGTAAGCCTGATTCCCCATTTGGACTAACAGTCTGACCCTTGGCGCTTGTATGACCTTATAAATGCAGTTGCGAGTGCCGTAAAACCTTACTAAAAAAAAACTTGCTGACTGGCCATAAGGTACAACTCGAATGGATCACTGCCCCTTCTTCTCTCTCCTTGTCTCAGTGTCTATCTTTCTTTCACGCGAACACTTTTCTACATGATACCCATTTTGCTGTTTCACATGTGTGTACACACACGCATCTCTTCCACTTGGGTACATTAGTACAAAAACAAGCCCTTGACACACACACACTCCCACGCAGAGAGACCTGCTTATCTTACAAACGCAAGTGCACACGTCCTGTCTTAAAATTTGTGGTTTGATGTATTAAGTTAACTACCGTTAAGTGAGGCTGCTTGTGGCAAAGCGAGTCGAGGTACTTGGCACCTTACATAATAGGAGTGAAAGTAGTTTTTTAAGTGCTATTCTGACAGAATTGAAGGAAAGATGTAAAAATGTAAACTATTGATTTTCAGTGTGGTCTTGACAGGCTATTTTTTTTTCATTATCGTCAAAAGTGCCAGGTCTGAAACAAACATGAGTGATCATGATGATGTTTCGTCATTCATTTCTTTGCTTTGATGTTCTAAAAAAAACCCTGTCATCCTGGTCTTTCCTAGTCTCTCATCTGTTTAGTTTTTCTAGAATTAAGTTGCTCTTGATCAACCCCTGCCTCATTTTGCCTTCTCTTTTGCCAGTGAGAGCAAGATTTTCCAAGTCTTTATATTATGGCAATTACAGTGTCCTAGAACTAAGGAATTGCATCTTTTCTTTAATTATTTTTATTAGCCATTGTGAGCTGGTCACATTGGTTACTTTTTTCCCCATTAAATTGTTACCAATTTCCTAACAAGACACATTCCTTGTCTTAATAATATCAGGTTTCAGAGTTGATGAAGTTGTGTCCTAAGGCTTCCAGGCAGTATTTAATCTCTGCTCCAGTATGTAGAGGAAGGGAGCAAGTAGAAATGAAAATTAGCCACGCATCGGGGAGTGGGGTGGGGGGATTGATTTAATGGAATTACTTTTTTGGGGGGTTTTTTGTGTGGCTTTTTTATATTTTCCATCTGCGAAAACAAAATGATGATTACTTAAAATCAAGGCAGTATTGTTTTTGACATGTTAGTGAAGAGGCAAATCCATGTCTTTCATAAAAGTCTATGACAGTTTCAATGTCACCCATGAAAGAGGGGGGAAGTGGATGAAACTGATTTTTTCCCGTTTTTTACCACTTGGAATCTGGGACCTTGAAGACAAAAAGAATAATCTATGACTGATCTCGAAAGTGGAACATACTTGCATATTGACAATATGATTTTCCACATTAAAAGTATAAATCTTGTCAAAGGAAATCTGAAACTTATTCTTGATGCAGTTTTTTTTTTTTTAGATGGGAGGTGGGGGGGGGGGGGGTACAAATTTTAATGATTCACCGGAAACGGAGTGAATAAGAGACCTCAGTTTCTTGTTCACACTGGTTTGAATAAAACAGATACTTGTGCATTTTGTTTGCTGTAAAGGGTACAGTGCTTTGGATTATATTTAGAGCACCATGCCAATTCACCATAGCAACGTGTGGCGTATTAATGGATCGCCGTATGCGTGTGGGATTGTCACGTATTGCGTCTTGTACGCGTAGTTTTTTCAACACGGGTACTTCACAGACCGCTAAAACTGGTCAGACAGTCCGAGGGCCGATGCAGTCAGAAAGGAAAGAGTGGGGT